CAATTGTCAAGTGACATAGCCAGATCATCAACTTTCGTGTAGGGATTGTCGTTTACATGGATGATAACGGACATGATCAAATCGAATCCCCTGTCGAGAAAAAAGCGGTTTGGTTCGTACAAACTAAGGTTATTCGGTATCCTTACAAGTCTTACAAGAGTTCTTACAAGAACTGCAGCGTTCTAGGGAGTCGAATTTAGTAAAACTCCAATGAATTTCCCAACCGTCACAAACAGCCGTCACAAGCCACCCAAAGAAGTTGAAAACGTTTCTTTTTACAACTTGGCATTTGAAAGATACGTACAGAGCACGGAGGCGGCAGCCACTTTCAAGACACCTCTATAGATTCCGAACCCGGCAAATTGAAGTTGTATTCCACCATCATATCCCCTCGGCCACCTACTTCAAAAACAGGTCACTTATACACTTATACGCCCCCGATCATGCCGTAGGGCCGCTAGGAATCTTGCAGAACAATTAGAGCTATCGGACTATACGCATTTTTTATTCAGTATGCAGAAGGAACCGACTGATGGGGTTAGTAGATGCTATGTTGATGACCGGTTCTATGAACAAATGCACTAATGAGCATCATTAATTAAGTAGAACGTACGTTCAATAACAGCGCAATCGGTAGGGGCGGAAAAGGGAGTCAGTGAGGCAGCATGACTTTCTGGAAGCTATAGCGAGTAGGTATACAAACGTACGGATACCTGCAGTCTTTAGCCGACAGCGTGACGAGGCCACACGTGCCACCCGTCAGACAGGAATGCGCGCTTAGTCCCACTTGAAGCAAAATAGCAACAGACACTATCGGATAAGATACAATCCGAAGGTAATACAAAAGATAGGAGAGCTATGAAGTCGAGTTGGCGCAGTAGGTAGTGCGCCACTCTGCCATCCGACGGGTTCCGTATTGGATCTCCGGGCAGCTCGCTTTTCTATCGGAGCAGACGTTTGATTGTAGGTGAATTCGACCCTAATTCCCAGCGACAAAATCTCGACACTGACTAGGGCGTAAGCAGACTTTAAGCAGGAGCCAAACCCCTGGGAGCGAGTAGCGGAGAAACAAGGCGGTATTATAAACAGATGTAACGCATGCTACTCATGAGTAGTCAGTACAAAAAGGAAAAATACGGATTAACAAGAGGAATCAACAGCCACCTTATCCTCAGCCAGATCACGTCGACAGCATATCGAGAGATCACTGTTATCAACTATGTAGGATACACATGACAAGGATTTTTTTGCTCTTCATCATCGCTGGCGAATTTTCAGACACAAACGCTTTATTGGGAATGCAGGGACGTCTGTGTACTTGAAATGTATAGAAAAAGGGAAAAAGTCTACAAAAGTCTGAGAGGCGGAACTGGGCGGGCTTAGGGAAACGAAGACTCCTCACAACGGGGAACAAATCATGTGAGCATTAGTTCTACAAGTTCGGTTCTGTTGGGTGCCTGAAATAAGGACACACTGAGTTTTTATGTGCAGGTATTCTTGCGTACATTTGTGATGAACATTCAGAAGGCAACCAATCCTATGTGAACATAACTGGTGAAGAATGTCACCGGTATTAGCTTGTGAAGATACATTTGTGTCTTCCAATGAAGTTATTTACTAGGTAAATAGGGTTGTTTTTAATCATAAGCTGATAAAAGCCGATTGCGCCGTTCGATGACGCTGCGTAATAATAAAAATAGTATCAGTACTACTACTCGTAACAATAAATATCTCAGTACATTTATGAAAACGGTGGGTCTTGTTCCAACGTGATGTCTGTCTGTTGTTGACTTCTCCAATTATCACCTGCCTTCGCGGAGCGGGCTTTTAAAGTAACGCTGGGTTCACTTGGGTGCGAGATGTCTTGGTGGTTAGATGGTGAATTTGCTGACTGGAAGGTCCGTGGTTCGAACCCGACCTATGACTTTCGACTTCCCCTGTCCAGGCTTGGGAATCCTAGCAGCATTCCAGCCCTTGTGCTTCCTTCTTATGGCACGGCAGCTGGTCACCGAAGGGTTGCTACAGCTGAAGGAAAAAAAACCGGGTCCACTTGTTTCAAACTTGTAGAGTCAGTGATACCGCTCACCTCACTGGTATATTTAAACGGCAATGAAGCATCAGCGTCAACACCACTTTTGCTGACCTATGGTAGCGTTTATGACCGCCTTGCGAGAATTGTCGTAACTTGGTTTCTCACCACTAATAATCTTTATTCGTATACTCTTCTCTAGTTTACCTTGGTCATGTGGCTTGTGGGCCCGTCTGGCTTAGCTCCGTGGTATGCTTCATTATTATCGTTCACCTGTTTACTAGTGCACCACACCAAGAAGATAGAGGCCGTGTCTGCGACCTTTGACCTCCTACATATCCACTTCAAGAGACTAGTCACTGCTGGCAGATTATTTAGTCGTACTGAGTTTCAGTCTTTATTATCTCAAGAAAATCCAGCTCTTCATGGTTTTAAGGACGTTGCACTCGGTATGTTTAGGCCACGAAAATTATAGGTCCATTCCCTTGCTAAATCATCAAGCGTTTGCCTATTTTATCCCTGTTAGAATGGAGTCCACGATAAAAA